GTTGTAGTCCATTAGTGGGTTATAAAATCAATTTAGTGTGGGACCAGCAGTTAATGTACTGGCTATGTCGCTGGACTCCCACGTAGTCGACCGTGGTTCAAGTCCCGGACCCGGTGGCTTAAAACTCACGCCGGGTGCGTGTGTGTGCATGCCCAAGATCCTGAGAGGAGAATGGAGAAGAGATTGCGGCGTGGCCATCCCCTTGGGGGGTGATTTCTCGCTTTCTGTCTCTCTTTCTGTCTGGTGAGTGCACACGCCCTATAGCAAAAACCTCTCCAAAAAAAAAGAAAAATCAATTTAATGAAGTGGAAACACCATTTTGAAAAGGTGAACCATGGGACAGTCCAGGGCCTGGTGGTTAAGGTGGCTGGACCTACATGGCAGACCACTTAGCTTGTGTGCTGGACCTGGTGGCTTTAAAAACATGCAATCCTCCAAGGGAGGGATGGAAAAAGGATTGCAGCATGACCATGCCTTATGGGGAGTGCTTTGCTTTCTAACTTTTTGTCTGTCTCTTTCCACTGAATGCACATGCATTCGGGCAAAATTAAAAAATGAAAAGAAATGAACTGGACAAGAGTAGACAGTATTAGTGTGCATCTTATTTTAAAGGTAGTTTTTGTTTTGTTTTGGAGAAAATTTTGCTATAGGGCATGAACACTCACTGGAGAAAGATGAAGAGATAGAAAGTAAGAAATCACTCCCCAGGTGAAATGGTCATCCCTTTCTCTCCATTCTCCTCTTGGGATTTTGGGCACATACACACACACCCCTGATGTGAGTTTCAAGCTGCTGGGTCCAGGACTCAATTGCGGTCGGCTATATGGGAGTCCAGCGCCTTAACCACCATGCTACCTACTGGATCCTACAGGTAGTTTTATAAAGCTTTTTTCCCAACTACAGTCATGTATCATGTAACGATGTTTCAGTCAATGATGGACCATATATGGCAATTTAACTATATAGTTATGGTATGTACTAGGTTATATCATCTGGGTTGGTGTAAACACATTCTAGGATGTTCCCATCACAACCAAGTCTCCTAATGACACATCCCCATTGTACAATGTGAATATTATGTTGTGATGTAAAATGTGTTTATGTCTGTGGGTCACAGTGAAAAAAATTTGAGAAATACTAAAGGTCTCATGGTATACAAATAATTTTATCAAATTACTTTTGGTAGCAACTAACAGAAAATGTAAGCTCAAATCACTATATATTATTTCAACATAACTGAGATTCTAGTTTGGGAGCTCCAAATACTGTAGTTTGAGTTGTTCTCATGTGCTATTCTGTTTCATCTTTAGCCTACAACTAGTTCCCCAGTGGTACTCAGAACATGCTTACTCTAACTCAGCAAAATAAAACCTGGATTCTCAAGTTAGTTTGGGCCTGTCAATCTTGAACTCATCAATGGCAAGGAAATGAGAGTACTGTGCCCACCTTAAGCTGGGGTGGATGTCTGGGAAACAATTTACTAGAGGGAACTGTAATGCAATGTGAAGTTCACTGTACTATGCAGAAATAGTAGGCATACCTACATTGACAAAAATAATGAACTTAGGTATAGGAATGGTCAGAGGATCCACCCAAGACATTCCCAAAGTTTGTGTGCAAGTTAGGTTGGTAAAAGGGGGAGGGCTCTCGGATGGTAGGAGTGCATGAACAAAAGCTGTTTTTCTGTGTGTAGGGATACAACCAAAATAAGGATTTCAATGCTT